CGTTAATATTTTTTTGGAAGCCGCTATTAACGCGATCAAGCGAGAAGGAAAAACGACCTGACGAAGTTGAGCAAAATGGCAACGAAACGTAGTCAACATTGCACTATGTGAGCTGAATAGCTCAAGTAACCAAAACAATGATCAATTGCTTTTTTACATTTGAAGTTTTTGACTGAACTAGAGTGATACATTCTGACAGTATCCGACCAACAATGCATTTCACTATTGTCGGTATTCAACGTTTCCTGAATATCTGTAGTTTGTCATATCAAATACAGTCAACTCTCTCTTAAGCGACCACCTTGGGATCAGGAAAAAGTGGTCGCTTACGAGAGATGGTCGCTTATTATACGAAAAAGTTCTTTATATGGGAGTTTATATGGGAGTTAAGAAAATGGGAAATTNTGACGAACCATCCAGTGGTGCGTATTAAAATGTCCTCGCCAAACCGAGTTTTTGGCTGAGTTTGGCGGTGGAGTAGGGGACCACGGCTTGCGGGATTCACCGAAAGCGACCGAAAATCGATCTAAATCACTCTTAATCTCCGTTGAACGTTTTTCTTTGACATTGAGATTTACACAGGAAATGGAAAAACGGTTGGTGGTGGCTATGGCGAGGATTTTCGGTTCAATTTGGACGAAAAAGATGCAATTTTTGCTGAAAAAGTGATCTGACGATTGGACTTTTTCGAGCCGGTCTGTCCTGCCTTTCAGTGATATAAGTAAAGGAGGAGAGATATCAAAGAAAAACGGCAAATTACGCCTTAATTCATAACTAAGACCACATCATAAGGTAAGACAAATGTTTTTTACTTAGTTTTTCTTTCAAAAATTTTGTATTTACATGCATTATAGATATCGCTATGATCTGCTAGTTAAATGCTTAGCTTGGGTTGCCTGTGGTTTATTTAGAGGACAGACACGGCTTACCGGCAAAATTTATTTTTCTCTCGAAAAACGCAGAAAATGTATATAAAAAACTATAAACGGCCGCTTGTGCCTCTGTCCTTTGAAATAAACACTTCTATAAAGCACTCGAGAAACTTGCTTCTCCGGTTTTCCAACTCCTATCGTGTTTACATCAGAGGACAGGGTCACGCGAGCCGTCTTATAATTTCTTAAATTAATTAATTGATTTATCTGTCCCTACTTCCACGAGTTTATTTGTTCATTTGCGTTCATCCAATTTTTCATTTATGTATTTATTCATTTGTTTTTGTTTTCAGAGTACAGCACGAAGACTTYAGCAAACAGGTTATGAATGTTTTGGGTCAGTGGGAGATTGACTTACAGAAAACCAGAGAAGCTATGGAAAAACTGGAGGCAAGTGACTATAGCATGTTATAAAATTATGAAATGCACCCTGAATATATACAGATTATAGAAAAAGTCTGACCAACACTGGGGGTAAAAGCATTGCGCACACTCGGAAGACGTACGATAGCTAAAAAGTCTAAATGGTGGGAACTAGCGGTAAACTAGTGTGAGTTGCGTCGGTGTTTCTAAAAACAGTTATGTCAAAAGATAGATTTAACACCGTAAAAAAATAGGTGAAATAACGTACTGACGTTTCGGACGTAACTCCTTCGCTCCTCTTTACTCTTTACGTCTGCAGTAAGTTATTTCACCTACCTTTTTACGGTGTTAAATTATCTTTTACACATTCATAACTAAACATTCTGACCGACCACTAGCAAAAACACACTGCGCACACTCGGAAGACGTACTATAACTACTTGAAAATTCTGACCGACCCCTGGCAAAAACGCAGTGCGCACACTCGGAAGACGTACTATAACTAAAAATGTTTACCGACCACTAGCAAAAACGCAGTGCACACACTCGGAAGACGTAC